GTGTGGGGGCGTTAAATAAACAAAGTTTCGTTCGATCCACTTCCAACCGATATTTCGTTCCTCGTGAAAGAACGGAAAGAAAGTGGTGGGTAATTTCGTTTCGTTTCCTTTGCGAAACTTGAAAAGAATAATAAAGATAATACCTTCAAGCTATTATTAATTATTTTCCAAATTTTTTATTTTTAATCCAAAACCACGAGGAGAGTCGGTTCGTTCGTATTTAGAGTATTTAATTTTTGAATCCCTTTTAAAGGAACTGTTTTTTTTTTTATCCACAAAGTATCTCTTAAAGTATCTTGGAAAGCGTCAAAAGATCGTGCAATAGAGAATTCTTTAAAATTTTTTTTTTTTTTTTTCACATCCACCGAAACAAAGAAGTAAAAAAAGAAGAAGAAGAAAAAAAGAAAAATTTTCGTGGATACAGAGCTCCATGTTATTATGGGAAGATGCGAAAAATATGCTTGTTCACGGACTAAATTAAGATTCTTATAATGAGCTGTGTGTGGTCTCGCGAAGCAAAGATTCTGAAACGAAGGCGGAGGTTCATTATAGAAAGATGAAATTTAATGCCGGTTACTTATGCATACGACGCGTCGAGACCGTATTATTCGCGCGTTATTACACGCGCAGGATGCATGCGAGCCGGAAATGTCTCGTAAGGGAAACGCGATCCACGGCAACTTAATGACGGTTAATATGTAATTCTCCCTCCCATTGAAATCCGATATAATATTACGAATTCTCGACCTGTGTTGTTAATAAAATATACGTGTGATTGGACGCACGGTTGGGGTGGGGATGCATTTACGTATTCAGTATTGGAACGAGTAGAATGGATAGCGTGGCTCGTGCGATATATAATTTCAATAAATTCCGGAATGCAGGATGTTTGATGATAGACGAATTCCGTGTTCGAACGAGGATGGCGGAATAACGACGACGTGATTTTATTATGCTCATATAGAAGAGTATTATCGTTGATCGATATATGTAAGTAGAAAAATTGCTTCGATCGATATTTCATTTAATCCCGAATGATTTTGAATGAATAAATTTGTTTGCAATCTTTCATTGAAACTATGCGATATTGAGTCTCAGTTGTCTTACATTCGATAATTGTACGTTTTTTAGAAATTGTTGTACAACATGTTGCAAATAGCAGATAAAATGAATTCGATGAATAAAGTAATCTTTGATTGCATTTTCAATAGAATGTTTCGAAATTCTTTCCTCTTGTTGCCACGCTTTCGATGTCGGTATCGTTAAGTAGTGTCTTGAGTTATATATTACCATATACGAACAAGGAGAGCAAATAATATGACAAGGACGAAGATAGAGTAAAAATATTGAAATTAGCGCCATCTCTAGAGTGCCGCAAATAAAACATAGAAAGAATAGAAATACGAAAAGAATTGATCATTAACGCCATCTTTTGAGTTACAATATCTTTATAAAAGTAAGATTAATTCTAAAAGTATTCGAAAGATGGCGTTATTCTGTAATTCTTATTTCTACCTTATCCTGTCTTTTCTCTAAAAGTTCCTTTAATCTCCGAGAGATGGTGTTAAAGATCAATTCTTATCCTATCTATCCTTTTCCTATCATCTTCTATCCTTCCTTTTTGTGTTTCATTTGCGGCACTCTGAAGATGGTGCTGATTTCAATATTTTCATTTTATCTCTGTCCTTTTCCACTATTTACTCTCTTTGTTTATACTTATTCTCGATACATGATCACAGACACGATATCGTATGTTAATTCATTTTTCATTTAAAATGAATGAATTTATAATATCTTGATCTTTAATGCAAGAGATATATAATATCTGATATATGATCTTTAATGCATGAGATATATATATATATCATATGCGTTTGTATTATCTTTAATAATTTAATTATCTTAAATAATTTAATTGTTGAATACGAATATTGAAGGAATACGAGAATAATTAATTTTGAGAATATTAAATTTTTTTGATTTTATATCAAATATAAGATTATATTTAAAACAATACTTTTAATCCTTATTTTTATGAGATAAAGTTTCATAAAAAATCTTTTATATTACATATTATTTTATATTACATATAATTATTCTTTCATTGGTTCCATTATACTGTCCATTCTTTGAAATAAGAAACGTCAAGTTATAATAAATTTGCTTGATACAATGAGATCATAAAAATAGTGAAATGCAAAACTATAAATGATCTGACTATTGAAATGCAAATTCTAATAAAATTGTAATAATCTGTAATTGTGCATAATATAAATATCAAATTAAATACGTTTTACAAAATTCCAAAACATTCTAAAGTACAAAAATAATATTCTGTCTTGCATTTTTATAATCTTTAACGCATTAAAATTATTGATAGTTTCCTTAATTCCTTGATCTAAGTCAATAGAATTTTTATAGAAATAAGTTACTTTAGGACTAAAGATCGCAAAGAATCTTCAGGATAAGTTTCCATTACTGCTGTAGCGCCAAAATTAAACGGTATCGCTATGCCACCATCAAGAACTATACTAGCATCGTAACACTGTGATCTTACTGTTAACTTATTACAAAAATTTCGGGGATGAATACATTTTGGTACAGGCCACAAATCATTTACTATCATATCTCTTACGACATAACATAATTTTGATTCCTCTAAAATATATTATAATTATGGAAATAATTATTTTGTGAGTTGTTTATATATAGTAATAGTTGTTTATATGTAAATAATATTATACTTACCTGCATCAAAATATAAACTATCGTTAAAAGTAGAACAAATTTGATTAATTTCTTCATTAGTAAATTGCTTCTCTTTATTTAAAAGAGTCAATATTTCTTGTACTATTTGTGGATTAACACTATTTATCGATTTATACCATGATGTTGACCCTGTTCCTGTAGTAATACATAAACCAGAGCTTTTCACCAAATGATATTTATCATCATCATCAATACTTATAAGCAATGAACTTGTTTTAGCAGAAAGTGTTTCTGCTATAAATACCTATATACATGAAAGAGATGTTAAATTCTAAATTATTAAAAAATATATGATGCATTTAATGAAACTTACTTCATTTAATGCTAACCAAGGCAAACGCCTTACTTTTGGTAAATTATTTGACATTTCATTTTGCTCTTGCATATAAAGTCTGCAATGATGAAAAATTTTTTTTCAACATATAGTATTTTATATTATAAATTGACTCAAACTTATTACCTTTCTCCACCTGCAATGCGACCTTTTTCATGTGTATGAAAAGGAACATCCCAAATATTATCTCCCTTTATTGTAGTACGAATTCTTCGTCTCATTATTACGTTATAGTAACCTGCTTTTAGCATTTCGAAAATATCAGATATACTTTCCGTATATTTCACTGGTAACATAAGATATCCTTCGGATTTTTCCGGACATGAATTAATACCAATTATTGGTTTTTTGTTATTAAATATCATGTTTGATGCCAATAAAAATGTACCATCGCCACCGATTGGAAGAATTAGATCCGCCCAAGCAAAATTCGAAGGATTTAAATTTTTCCTTAAAAATTAATATTAATATTGTTATTAATAATAATTTTTTCTTTTCAATAAAAAATTCCTTTAAAAATTATATATACCTATTTATTAGTTTATATTCTATATTCAATTTTTTTAAAATTTCAGTTACTTGTTTTTTTACGTTTTCGGTTGCTAAATGGCTAATCATCATAGAATCATAATCAGAACCTCTTTCTTTTAATTTCTGTTTGAATTGTTCTTCACTTAAACTTGGTTCTCGTATTTTTTCAAAATAATATCGCGACAATTTTACTACAATAAGTATTCGTTTTGGTACAAAACTCGATTCATTTCGCAAGAATAATCTGAAATTATTATAAACATTGTTCTTATGTGGTTGTAAAAATTGGACAGCTCCTGAAAAAATATAAAATATGAATTAAATCATTAATTAATCTTAAACAAACGCTAAAAAAAATTTATAATTAGAGATAATAATAAATTATAAATTATAAATTAACATTTTTCATGTCTTATGTATCATGTGTTATATAAATATTATGCAATATATTATATTACTATGTAATATGCGTATAATACAAATAATCAATTATTAATTTAATAATAAAAAATTATTTATATAAAGTCGATTTTTTTATTATATTTTCAATTATTTTATTTATTATCACATATTTTATTTAAAATATTTAAAATATTAAATAGAATATTTTATTTACTATAATTTTTAAAAAAACTAAATTTTTCTATAATCTATTATATTGCATAAAATTTTTTTTATTTTTATTATTGTGTATTTTATATTTTATATTCAAAGTATTTATATAGTGATATATAATTTGATATTAGTTTATTGATATATAAAATATACTTTGATTATTCTATTATTTGAAATCATTCAAATTAAAATACATACTGAAGTTATTATTAAAATTTGTTTTTTGTTTTTATTGGAGCTCATTGACATTACGATCACGGATGTGAAATTAAACATTATGTAAAATTCACTTACTGACAGATCTTCGAAAATGATTGAGAGTCGTCATCGCATGACGATGAAAAAATGTGTATGTCAAATGCGTGCAAATAATGTTACAAAAAGTGATGTGTTAAGAACATTAAAATATTCCTAACCTCTCTACGAACAGTAGATACTATACAATCAAGTGCAATGTTTGCATTCACTCTATGACCATAGAAATAAATCTTGAATGTAATGAAAAACTAGTATGGCGACCGCGGAAAATATGAATGCGAGTATAATTTTTGTTCTATTGATAAAATAATAATTTCTTGATAATTAATTAAAATAAAAACGAATAAAAATATAAAATAATATTGTAAATTATAATAAGAAAAGCGATTCTATGTTTCTTTCTGTTTGTGAGTGAAAAAATATGAATCATTTCAATAATCTTTGTTTTCAAAATTCAGTAATTGAAATAATTTAGAAAGAAAAAATTTCACTGTACAGATACACGCTTCGCTTACACTTTATTAATTCATTTGCAATACATTAATTAAGTCTGTTTAAATAGCATCAAGGCTACCTAACGTATGCCTTCGTTTATACTATAGACAATCATCTAACTTAAACACACACTCTTTTTGTCTTTCGATAATCTTTCGTACACTCTCATTCTCTCGCTCTTCCGTTCTTTCTTCGTATTCTTTTTCTCATTTGCGCTGTTTCTCATTTCTCTTTAATCTGTTCCATTATCGATATCATTTATCGTTATTGTTATTACCATTGTCATTATCATTATACCATATAATATATCATAAGATCGACGTTAAAAACTAAAATTCGTATAAAAAGCGTCGTTATTCATACTAACAATGTAACTGTACTATTTAAATAATAATTGAATCTTAAAAAATTATTTGTTCTTGTTGTTGGTGGTAGTGTGTTTGAATGTATGAGATGTTTAATGCATCGAGTATAATACGAGGATGCAAGGCGTGCATAAAATGACACATGTATTTATGCATACATTTATGTCGATTTATATCCTAAGAACTTCGGTAAGATCGCGAAATGCCCCGACATTGCGCTCACATATCAAATTACATAATATATCATATGTTTTTTTATCATTTACCATTATGAAAAATAACGATTGTTTTAAAAAATAAAAAGCGTATGTTGATGATTTATAGAAATATAAAATTAACAAAAAAACTATAAATTTTCACATATATTTGTAGTATTTGCAAATGAAGAAATCAATAATAAAAAAACGCGCGATTTATTCATTACGATCTTACCGGTATCAATCGTTCTTAGATTATATCAGGATGTTAATACATCCATTTTGCGTATCCAATTGCATCTCGCATATTTTTTTTTTTAATCATCTTTCACATTGTAATCGTTTTCACACGGCATTTTATAATCTAGCTAATACTTTTACATACTACGAATGTTTAGCACATATCACTACGGCCGAACCAACTCTCTCTCTCTTTTTCTTACTTACGTCTCTCTCTCTCTCTCTCTCTCTCTTCTCTCTCTCTCTCTATTTCTCTTTTCTTTAACCTTCGTTATTACATAACTATCCGCTATTACGAGCAATAATGTACATCAATTACATAAAAAACAAGATATCATTGTGTTAATCGTCTCAACGTCACGCGATGGTCACATTTGCGAAGGTACCGCGGTTTATTAATTAATTCAAAACTTACTACCGACACCATCATTCATACGTAGTAGGTTCTTACAACGCTCTGACGCACGATATTCATTTCGAAACGTGTTTGGGTTGTTGTTCATCATCCCGGGTACACTGCATGTGAGATATTACATTATTATAATCCTATCGAAAAATCGAATATGTCGCTTAAAAAACTGACGTATTATTACGAACAATTAAACGAGGTCCTGTTTGGAACTCGACGCGGATAAAATTCAACGACGCTTACATTTCATAATAATGCTATGCATCATGTAGGAATTTAAAATTGCTTTAATTTAAAAAAAAAAAAGAAAAAGGAAGAAAAAAAAAAAAAAAAAAAAAAAAAAAACGGAAAAACACGATCGTTCATTGCTTGCTTTAAAATTTATAATTTCATTCTTTCTTTGTTAAAAGTAACGTGCCATTCAACGTATACAATTACTCGTTCATTAAAATAAATAGAACTTTAATATATATTGCTTTTAAATATGATATTTCGAATTCGAATGATATTAGTTGAGTAATTGCAGTATTGATTTAGGATATGCTAAATTGATTTTTTAAAACATAGTTATTAAAAAACAAAAATTGTATTTGATTTTATACATTTTCAAATACGTATTTTATTTATTTAAAGTTTAATTTTCTTTTTTGCAAATTATTTAAAATTTCTTTTAATGTAAATAAAGATTCACATTTCTCTTGTCAAAATTCACATCGAGTTATTAAATTATTATATTTGCATGTAATCATTTAATCAATAACCATGTACGAGTCAAAAAATATTTAAAATAAAAAACAAATCAATAAAAATTAGAGACAAAATCCGTGGAATGGCATAAATTATGTCCTTAATTGGAAGATTGACTTCGTCGTCATGTTGCATATCTTACTCTACAGCAAATGTTACCCTTATCGTGCTGATGTTTTCGTGGGCAGAGGTGTTACGTGTGTTTTACATGTTTCATGTGATGTGACTATCTATATAGTATACATATACACTATATTCATATTTATACATATATATTTATATTTATTTATATACCTCTTCTTTTCACATTCATTACTTTGCAAAATATTTCTTTTGCCGGCACTAAGCCTGTATAATACAATCGCAAATTACATCTTGTTCGCTTAGGCAAAATTTACTTGTTTTACTTGGTAAGTACAGTGACCATCTGCATTGCATTTCATTTCTACTCGAGGAGAAGGTCGGGTTGGAGGCTTCGATAGAGTATCCCACATATGGATATTTTAGTCGCGTCGATTTTAAAAAGCTCCAAATCACAAAACGTAATTGTATACGTAAAATCTCTGTTACGGCTTCTGGCCTCGATAAAGCTTCTCTTATTTATCCTACTTACAATCCTTATGAGGTTCGTTAAACGCAACTTGAGTTTTGTTTTGTTCGGCAGAAGCGTCTCGACGAATATAGAATTCTTGTAACATCGCGTTTTTTAAGTTCATCGTTGATGCTACAGAGAGAAGTACGGGCCGTTAAAAACGTTCGCCACCATTAGATTATTTTCGAGCATTAAAGTATATGTATGGTTAGAATGCGAGAAGCGCCCACGCGAGCGTCGATTACGGGCGAATAACGAATAAAAGATCAGAGGCGAATAGAACACGCACGTAACGCGACGCGCACGAAGATGTACCCGCATTCGTGGAGTTTTATTATTATTTTTTTCTCTATTAGAATTAAAGTTGTTCAATCGACCGCTAGAACGAGGCCGACAGAGCACAGAGAAAACAGGTCTCGCGATTAATCTCTTCGATGATACTCCTAATGATACTCTTGAGGGTTTTACCCTCTAGTAGTAGAAGTGGGCAAAACTGTTGCAGGTGTTGCGAGAGCGAACCGAGCCTCAGCTATGCGTTTGCGGGTGTGGAGGTGGTGCGCCAGTAATCTCGGTCCAACGCATTTCGAAGAAACTGCGCATCCCATGTCCGGCCTTCCCCACGGGACTGTCGTCCTCGTTGAATACCTCGCAGTTGATGAACATCTGTCTGACATCGGCGCAAAACTCATCGCGAGACTTGTACCTGTATCGAGAAGCACTCTTTGGAACATGTTCGCAATTTTCCAATTTTTTCGGATTGAAGCTGACGATCAAGTTAGAGCTTTTTTCTAGAGATCTTAGGTGAACTTTTTTTTTTTATGTTTAGGGAAAGAGGCATTTCTAAATAGAGAGTACGTTCAATTAACTAGTAGTCGTTGGTACGCGTGTAACTTACACGGAATCCTGCAATTTCTTCTTAATAGTACTGAGATCCATGGGTGTTTTAATAATTTTCTTGTAGGTAGGAAACTGTTTGGTGTTCACCGGCAAGAGGAACGGCCAGGCCTCGTCCTGTTGCTCCAACTGTTCGAGTAGCACCTTACAAGGAGCCAACTCTCGTTGTTGTTTCTTCGTGAGCGTCCTATTGTTTCCCTCCTTCCGTGGTGAGGCAGTTGGGGTTGCTGGTTCCGATGAACTGACGTCCTCTACGTGTGTGTTCGATGCCGTTGACGGCGTTGGACTGCGACGCAAAACAATAGAAATTATTTGCACGATTATCTTTCTCGTTTGCAGGAGGTTTTTCCGTCTTAAAAGCTTCTGGACGAATGCATTAAGATTCGAGCGTGTATTTTCTGCTTGAGACGGGTACGTTGTTCTCGATGGAACATTTCGTCTTTCTGACTCTTTGTCTTTCGTTCTATTTGGTCTCGCTTTTTTCTCTCTCGTCGTTTTTGCCCTTTTATGGTTTATTATTAATATTATTATTATTACCAGTATTAATATTATTATTATTACCATTATTATTATTGTTATTATTATTATTATTATTATTATGATTATTATTATTATTATTACTATTATTAGTATTATTATTTTTATTACATTTTTATAGAATCTGAAGACAGCTCTACCGTTACGACGAATTTTCTAAGAAAATACCCCCGTTAGTCGATGATCGTAACACACTGTACGAAGTACAGGGTGTCCCCCGACGAGAAGAGATATGACACGATAGTATTATTCATAGAGATATAGAATATCACTCGAATGAAGAAAAACCTACCTATCGGTAATTTTTAATATATGAAGAATATTAACTATATATAATCTATCGCGGAACACCCTGTATGAAGTAAATATTTTCTTACAACATAATTTTCGACGAGTATGTACGATATGGGTCGAAGATGTAAATCGAGTATAATCGCATGAGAGTGATGTGTATGCATTTATGTTCGTTCGTTTTAAAACAGTTTCTTTTTGTTCCTATTCGATCGGAAATTGGTTGTTCGTTTGCGTTCGCTGAATATTATAATTGAGTCATAATTTCGTAGTTATTTTCCCTATTGTATATTTATGTCAAACATTGTTAAATCAGCGTGTTGACAGTGTTTGTTTTTTTTTTTTTTAACGTTAATCACCTAGCTGGTGGATGATCAGAACTTTCACTTTCTCTGGTGCCTCCCCCTTTGGTATGACTCCTTCGACTACTATTTCTCTTCTTTGGTTGTTTACTGTGGCAATTAGAACAATACCATTTTCCCCTTGGCATCTAAAAATATGAGATAAGTAAATTAAATGAGAATAACACGTTTCTTTGAAGAAATACATTCACATGTATGTATAATTGATAAAAACTTACTTTTGGCATAACAGGATTGTGGCAGTCAGTGTGATAAGCCCTTGGACAGAGTTCACACAATACTAAGTTTTTACCAACTCTCTTTCCACATACCAAACAGTTTCGTTCCCCTGTTGCTTTATTCATGCATTCGTGACAATACCTGAAATATTCATAATTGTTTAATTACAAATGAACTTATCATTGTTTGAATATTTAAAATATGATTTCTTACCAGTCACCATCAGGAATGTTTTCCATTTTTGGACGGAAACAATAAGTATGATAGCCGCGGTCACAACCATCACACAGTAATAATTTGTCTTCGTTATCTCCGCTATGACAAAATTGACAATTCTGTAACAAGAAAAAAAAACTTTCCAATTTAAAATGATAAAACACATATCTCAGAGATATTGATTTCAATTTCAGCATTTATTAATTAAGCATTTAAAATTAAACCCATTAATGCAATAAATGTTAATCAACAAAAAATACATATAATAAATAAGAAGATAAACTTTAACATTCATATAATATATAAATATATAATTAACAAAATTAGCGTAAAGTATTTAATTTTAGTTTATTTGTATCATGCATTTTGATTATTATATAATTTAAGGTATAACTAAATTTAGTTATATAAATGGTGGATTGGAATAACTGAAAATTTGTATAAAATAAAGCCAAAATAATAAAATATATTTTAAGACTATGCATATAATTATATAGTTATAACTAAATATAGAAACTATTCTACAAAAGGAATCATATAAAGCATTAAAGGAAAAAATTAGTAAACGATAAGCGGCATATTTTCTTGCATGCTACCGTTACGTTAGACTCTAACCACCATTTACTACATCAATGTATTATTTTTCTTTTAAATTATAGCAATTTTTTCAAAATGCATTGTAAGTTTTATGTTAAATTAATTAATTCTCTAATATTTTATTTTTCGTTAATTCACAACTATGACTGCCGCATTATTCGCACTTAAAAATATTTATGAATTTGTTTAAACTTCCTTACAATATTATATTTGAACATATTACGGAAAGTGCCACGATAAGAGCATTTCGTTTGACCAAACATTTACCAATCATTTTTGAAAGCGATATGCTCTCTGTGGTTCATGTGCAAGGAAGGATAGAAGAATCACGCAGGAAGTAAGAAGAGGGTACTTTGGTTAGTAAGTTAGTGCGAATACCCACAGAGGCCTGAGAAGTAGTCAATAGCTGATTGTATTGAGTGGTAGCTTTGAGTGAGACGCAGCGGTTTCGTAGCTTGACGCAGACCGAGTTTCTAGCTGGTGTTAGACTCACAGCCTTCATGATGCTCTTGTCCCAAGCGATGCTAGCCTCCAACATATAAAGTGCCATGGCCAGCTGAGCGGATGTATGTGCTCGAGCTGTTGCCTCTCGCCAGTTGTTTAGCCCTCTTGGTGTTGTTTCTTCTTGAGGTACTGGGGTCTGATTGCTCTGATCCGAATTATTCGAATTCGCATTTGCAGCAGCTGCTTGTTCTGCCTTTAAAGCCGCTAAGTTTGGATCTCCCGTGCTATAATTTTAAATAAATAAATAGAATGAAATAAATAGACTCTCAATTAAAATTTGCGATATTTAAATCCTAGATAAATATCTTACCAAACACCTAACGGTGGTTTCAAATATCTCCTCTCTATAGCGGCCTCTAGAGACAATAACCTTTGTCGTGCTTGTTCAACTGCACTGATTTTTTCCATTTCGTTCAATTTTTCAATTTCTTCAGCCTCCTCGGTTCCTGCCCGTGGAGGCAGTTTCCAGCCTTTGACCTGCATACTGGCATTTGCAACTTTATCTTCTAGGGCCTCAACTTGTTCCAATAATTGCGCATCTACGCGTAGCGCAACTTGCTCACTCCAAACTGCCGGATTGTCTGGTTTTGGAATTGGCGTATCAGGTTCATCGGGTGTCGCTTGAAGTTCTGTAGCAGTAAGATTGCCAGGATCCACATTGATCTTGCCTGTAACAGCTAAGAAAGATTCCATGGTCGCCCACGTTGTACGTTTTAGTTCTTTCTCGCGAACACCGCGAGAATGAAGATGTTCCAGCAATTCTTGAAACGTATCGACATCTGTTATTCTCCACCAACCATATCTTAAATCTAAAACGAATAATATAACATATTAGTATAATTTAAGAAATTTAGATAATTTAAGAAATTAATTTTCATATATTACTTGCCATTTGGTACTGGTTTAGCTTCTCCAGGAGGTGGTAAACCATGAACTTTTAAATATTCAAGTTGCGCTGCTTCGTCTTGAGTCAAAATTAAAGGAGCAGGACTATCACACCTATCGTAATTTGGACTAGCCGGTGGAGGAAATACTGGTATTCTTAATTCAGTTGGTTCGGCTATTCCAAATATCTGTTTGGTACTTGGTCCTGGAGTATCACAAGTTTCCCGAGGTAAAATTGAGAACCAATTCGATTCGTTACTGTTATCTGAAATTATTAAAATAAATAACATTAGTACAATACTATTCAATTTTTTGGATATTTTTTAATGTATAATAGATTGAGAAAATCTTACTAGAAATAAAGGTACCATTCAATTCCTTCCCATTATGAAGATTATTCACATGATTGAATTTATCACCGTTTGGAATTGTTTCAACAATTTTATCTTCCATTATCTTCACCGCTGGTTTCATATCTTCATCCGTTTCGTCATTTTCTTTTTTTGTTTCTTCTTTGACATCCACATCCATATTAATTACTTCTGTTTCTTGTTTAATCTCTTCGGATGTAACATTGGTCTTTGCATCGGCCATTGAATTATCCAAATCATTCTTTTTCTCTTCTTTAACATTCGTCAAATTTTCACAATTTTGCATAGGCTCTTTCTTACAATTAACATCTTCAATTTCAGATTTCGTTTTCTCTATTAAAGGTTTCATATCTTCTTGATCATTTGAATTGAACTTCTTTTCCTTCTTTACGTCATTAGGAGCTTCATTCTCACGATTTTCGACTTTGGTGTCTTCTTGTTTTGTTTCTCTTTTCTCCTCCATCGATACGTCTTTGTACTTTTCGTCTAATTCAGCCTGCACCTCGAGAATTTCAGGTTCTGCGCTTTCCATGGCCTCGACGAAAATGCCACCTGCGCATGCTAACTCCCAATATCTTCTCCAATACCTATCTTGGCCAAATATGTGGGCTCGTAGTTGCTTTGAAGAGCTATTCAATTTTTGCAATTGTTCTTCTGACTGTTTTAATAATTTATCCAACTTTTTACCGAGCTCTTCACCAGAGAGATTTTTGTCTTCCTCCTAAATTATACAAATTATAAGTACATACAATAAAATCTTTATTCAATAACAGATCAATCAATATATTTTAAATTATATAATTTACCTCCTCAGGCTGAGTTCCTTCACTCTCATTTTCGGACATATCTTCAACTTCATCTTCATGATGAATCTCATCAGGAGTGGGTGTCGTACCTACTGCCGTTGACGATGTGTTACCCTCCTCATCGCCCTCTTTCTTCTCAATCGTAATGGTGTCTCCAGTTTTATTAACTATCACACCCACTGCTTCCATTCGTACCTTTCGACTATGTAATTGTCTCAACCTATATAAATATTCAGATAAAAGTATTAATCTCACTCTAAATATTCATAACCTTAAATCATGAAAAAATACCTACTTTCTTATCTTTGTGTCCAACACGAATCTTTCTTTTCTTAACTGAGCTACTGTTTCCAAGCTTCCTTCGATCTGTCTGATCACAGCCTTGTTCTGCAATAGCTCGTTACAGAGAAACGCGAGCATTTGTGCCTTGTGCGTCGGATTCAAAGCTAGGAATGGTTTGTCTCTCAACCTTTCGGACATTCTCCACGTTTCGTTGTTATGCAAATGCTCGTAAAATTGGGCGTTTTTGCCCGAACAGGTCGAAGCGTAATCACCACCATTCTGATGATGATCGGCAAATTTCTTATCGCGTTCCCGTTCTAGACATACTCCTGTCAGAGCCTTCACCTCTCCTGTCGCGTTCGCGTATAAGTAGATTCGTAACACCTCGCTGATGTTGGCATGCGTTATGTCAGCTTGTCGGAGGCTTTGGCCAAGACCTGTCGTGTGTCTCGCTGGTTGAGGGATTCCTGGATCCTCGATCGCGCATACTAACAGATGTGTCATCACGGACAGAAGCTCTTCCTCCGCTTCCTCGTCATTGAGCAACGCCAATTGAAGGCTTTTTAGACTTGGGAGCGATTCCATATCTAAAAATGAAAATTAATATTTGAAATACATGAAATAATGATTGCTTTAAAGTTTTATTCGAACAATCGCTTACCAAAGCCTAAAGTCTCGCCGAAATTATGCAGAAATTCGAACACCATCACAATGTCTGCAAACGCTTGGCCGGATAATTTCAGACCAGGTATTCGTTTTAGTTCTGGCAGTGATCTATGATCTGAAATCAGAAAACTCAGTACATGTTACAGAATTTACAAACCATGAACAAAAGTCTCGCAAAGACATACCAGTTAGTTCCATGTCTTCAACAGGCTTTCTGATCTGTTCGACCAGTTCCATCTCCATCTTCCTCTGTTCGGCGCGTTTCTCTTTCGTTGCTATTCTTTCGGCTCTCGCCTCCAATCGTTTTTTCTCCCTTTCCTCCATTTTTCGACGGTTTTCTAACGCTCGAACCAACGCCATGTGCTGCCTCCTTCGTTCTCTTTCCTAAATTATTCAACGAGAAACCATTGAACCGAGAAAAAAGATACATAGAGAATCAACGACATTCCATGCAGAGAATTTCTCGTAAAATATTTTTGTTAAAAGCACAACTGTGGCACACACGGGCTACAACAAATTCTACGTTTCCAAGGTGTTTCAAAAGAGGCTACATTTGATAGTAGACTTTTGTTCAAAAACACCGTGCAAAACTATTCTTTTACCCAACCTGTTTCAATTTTTATAAGTTTGATAAATTTTTTTTCCAATGATCAATGCGTTTTGACTTTCATGCAGCATTTTATCATTTTTTTCTTTTTTAATTTCTAAAGATATAGATTTTTCATTATAATCGTTGATTACGTGAGATACAAGTATCTGAATATTCTATCGATATAATCGAAGCGAGGAATGGATATGTTATCACCGAAGAACTGGTTAGTGAACGTGAATCTCACAAAAAAAAAGCATTAGTATAGCTCGCGTGGCAAAATATATTGTTTTGAACGCGATTTTATATCGCGATGGCTCGTAGAGGAAGCGACGAAGTGCAAATTAGTTAGTTTTAGCTAGTGATTCACAACTATATATATGGTAACTTTAAACTCGTCAAGTTGATCTATTTTTTTTTTTTTCGTTATTTATTTACATATTCCTAATAAAAAAAAAATTCTAATAAAATTATTCAAGTGAAATATTTAATTATGAAAATTTCAAATTAAAAATTCTCTTCTTAAAATTATAAAAGTTAAATCTTCAAATTTATCATTTAAATTTAATTTAAAAAATAAAATATCATTTAAAATATATTCGATTTTAAAATTTAATCTATCGATCATCAAAGACGAAGGACCGATAAAAATTCTTTCATTTTCTTTTCTTTTTATTGGTGTTGTAACAATGACGAGTTTAAAATTTGTGTAAATTCGACTCGTTCCATTTTAGTAAAGTCGTTTTAATTAAACTAGATTGGGTATGAGACATACCAGCTCGACGGTGTAGAGCATCTCGCGCTGCTTGGTGAGCTCCTGCATGTACATCTGCGGCACAAAACACATCCACAATCCACCAGTGCTCAAACTACCTTACACGGTCAGAACAATTCGTTTTCTTTCTCGGGCACGCATTTATCAATCATCGTTATAAAAAACTGAATTTTTTCGAAAAACATTGAAATCAATCAGCTTCAAACTGTTTTTGTTAATAATCCTTTTTAAAATTAGACAAAAAAAGATTGGAATTGTGTTTTTCACAATGATCAATTCATATCGTTGTAAAATCAACATCGTTGGTCAACATTGATTAACGACAATTTTCATATATTATGTTTTTTGAAAGAATTTTTTACAAATTTTGGAAATTTATTCGAAATCATTCTAATAGATCCTTCAATCCATATTGTTGCTACGTCAAGACCAAACTCACACCCGTGTCTCAAACGAAACTCAAAGCAATCTTAGATCGTGATGTTCGAGAAACCAAAGAGACGAAATTACAGTTTACACACAAAACTAAAAAAGCAAACACGTATAACAGAACTCTGATATAGCGTGTCTTTATATGATTTATAAAAACATCGATAATTGTGGATCTCCTCACCGTCGTATAATTTTATTTATTTATTTTTTTTTTCATATAAAAAAACAACGATGCGATTTTTAATTAAAAATAGAAAAAAAAACGATATAATAACGTTCAAAAGAATAGCAGATTATATATGCATATTTTAAAAATAAAAGAGAAAAAAAGTAACAAAATAAATAAAAAATAGTAAAAATCTAAATATGTATATATCAAGATGAAAATAGAGATATATATAATATATTATAATTTATTAATCGCGTAGGAGATTTGTAAATAGAGAGATGAATGAATATAAGCGATATGTAGATAAAAAATGTGTGTACATAAAACGGAAGCTTGTATATTTCTACGAGAGAAATAAAGAAACACACACACTCGCACACCGTCTATTCTACAGCAATGATATGATTCAAGAAAACGATCCAAAAAAAAAAGAGAGAGAGAGAGAAGAGGAAAAAATAAAGGAAAATTCGTTTTAAACTCACCTGTTCTTTCAGCATAACTGCCTGCTGCCGCTTCAGCTCGCGTTCCTGAGAAATCACAGAGAATGCTCGTGGTCATTTTTCTCTCGTTCGTTAAATATTGTTCTTCTAAAAAGCAACTAATGAAGTTGAAGAGGCGTATGTATTTTTCACATGGAACAGAGTGAGAAAAGAAAAAGAAAAAAAAAAAAAGAAAAAAAAATAAAACAAATAAAATTCGACGAAGGAAAGAAAACTCCGGGACAAAAACGTAAATTAAGGCAAAAAAGACAAAACACGCGATTCTCGTACGAGTTGATTAAATTCGAACGACAAATTAAATTCCACTTTCAAAAGAATTTTAAATTCTTTTAGAATGTTTGAAGAATCAGTTTTTTAAAACAGACTTTTAACACGAGAGGGAAAAAGAAAAATAAAAAAAGTTATAAATTTATAATTGAATCTACGATAAAAAGAGAAAAGAAAAAGAAGAATCGAATAAACGAATTGGAAGTTAATTTATCGGTAAATAACGTTGTTACCTGGAATAACGTGAATAAAGTTAGGAAATTTCCAGGCTGAATTTTTATTTTTGAAAAACGAGCGATAGAGAATGAAGGAAAATGTGAAGTACGGAATAGTAGAGAGAAACCAGGCTAACGTGTAACAACGATTTTAGGATTACCTGTTGCTTTCGTTGTTGTTCTTCCAGTCGTATCTTCTCCACCTCTTCCTGCCGTTTTTTCCGAGCCTGCGCACATGCCATATACACACGTCACTCTCATCCGTCATTATTTTCGAAGGGTCAAACTTACAGAATTTCTCTTTTTATTTTTCTTTATTCTCTTTTCGATTTAAGCGCGATACCAGAAAACTTTGTCGTAGTGATTTTACCGATCGTATTTCCATCTTCCTTATCGACTTAAAACGATAACGCGGCAAAAAGTTTAACGTTAAATTCACAGATGACGTTGCATTATCGATTACTACCAACGCGTTGCTAATTACGAAGGATTTATTGGATTGAAAAAAAAAAAAAAAAAAAAGAAGGAAGAAAAAAAAACTGAAAAAAGGTTATGTCATGTACATAGCAGATCTTATATTTCGTTTCTGGAATGTTTCGTTTCCCGATCGTTTCTCTTTTTTTTTTTCTCTCTCTTTTTTAATACCGCGTGCAGCGCGTGGACCTCTGTGAAATTCCTTTCTCATTTCTGAACCGTTCTTTCGAGAATTTCTAATTTTATGTATCCAGTTTTTTCGTGCTACTCGTGATCCAAACGCTACTGTGTTGTATAAAGCAGACGCGACTACGTAGCAGAGTCAGTGACAGGAAGATTAAGCATCTAATCTAGCGTATCTACGTAAATTCTAATTTGTCTAATCGAGGCTTGATATCATGTTATTTCATAAAAAAATTTCGTTATAATTCTAATAAAATATTATTCTTAAAAATTTCGAATCATTTTGATCTATTTTTTTTTTTTTTTTTTATTTCTTTAACACGTTCAGGATGACAATAAAATCATAATAAATTCAATATTCAATTTTGCGTATACGTGGTACTTTAACTATCGTGGACGATATTTTCTTTTTTTTTTTTTTTTTTCTATTTATATCCCCGTCTAACTACCGTTCCATCCCATCATCCTAAACGTATTAAAAAAAAATCCAGCAATTCGATGGATCCCTTCTTGTGTACAAATCAACAAACGTGAAAAATCGACAAAAAACACACGCCTATGAATCGGAACCGAAACCGAACCGATAGTCGATGCACACAATTGAATCGATAACTCGATTTCAAACCGAGATTCGAATCGGAAACAGCGACGAGAACAAGAGAGAAAGAGAGAATAATACAACACAAAACGTAGCGTCAACGGATTCGCAGACGGATCCGTGACGGAAATCCCCTTCACCTGATTTACCCCCAAAAAAACCAATACAAAGGGGGGAGGGGGAAGAAAAAAAAGAAAGAAGAAATACTTAAAGAGTACTAAACAATGTACGCATGCCATTTCGTGGAAAAGCAAAAATGTCTGGTGAAATTTGGCGGGAAAGAAAAATAAGAAAAATCGTGATGATAAGGTTGAAAACAAATAACGAGTCGAGACGATGAAGGAGAAACTGAAAAGAAAAAAAAGAGAAAGAAGAAGGAATTGCAACCAGGTAGAAAAGTGAAACAAACCAACGTGTTCCGTACTCGTGGAGAATCGACATGACTTCACGGAACGGAACAAGGAGAAGTGAATATGGAGCTTTGTTCGAACGAAACCAAAAGCTTCTCAACCAAGAACTACCAGAGAGAAAAATATATAGGCAACATATGAAATATATAATATATATATAAAAAAAATTGTGTGTATATATATATATATAATATATAGGTAATAAATATATGTATATATAATATATGTATAATTATAAACCACCACCATAATTTGTACAAGAAAATAGACGAGAGACAAAGTAATAGAAATTTGAAGATTGTTAAAAAAAAGTAGTAGTAATAGTAAAAAATTTTTCGAAGCGATCAGAAGAAAGAACGTGAAGAATTGTGAAAGAAATGAAGAGAAAGAGAGAAATAGGAAGAGAGCGCATGCAGGAGCCAAGCAAATATACTCGCCTTATGTATCTATGCACATATTATGTGATGTAATAATGATAAAACTGATAATGGTATCGCATTAAAAGCTGATAATGAGGGGAAAAAAAAAAAGAATAAAATATGTTTTTATCGATTAGAACGTGTTGTGTAGCCTGTTTAAATTACAAAGAGAAGGAGAAAGTGTTTTAAACAGCTGTGACAATGGTCGGTATTAAATATATGATAATTCGTGATAATAATTGTAATCAGAATAATGGCAACGGTAATAATAATATAATAAGAGCAATAATTATAAACAGAGCGTATGATTAATCGAGTTGATAATATTACATGTTCCACGCGACAGGCCTTTTCTAGGCCTTTTAAACATAGAGGGGGGGAGGGGGGGAGGGGGTGAACAACGAGATTTGAAAAAAAGAAAAAGAGGAAAAATTGAGAAAGAATGAAATTATTGAAAAAAAAGAGACAGAGAAAGAGAGAGAGAAAAAGAAAGCTTAATTTGCACGAGCAGCTATACTTGATAATCGGGTAGAACACGTAAAAATTTGAAAAAAATATAGCATGCTATGATAATCATGTAGCTAGCTGTTATTCTTGTATATAGTGACAGGAGAAGCTAGGCAACAGGATAGCATTGCGACAGTCGGTATTTCTTGAATTTATCGTCATAGTTTCGCAGATATTATTATACATTCACGTCTAATTAAAAGAAGAAAAAAAAAAAAAAAGAAGGTTTCTTGTGTTTTCTACGCATACTGTGTTAATTATTCGTCAAACAACATCGAAAGTTTCTTCGATTCTTTTCATAATATACGTGGAAAGAATCGAGAGAGAAAGTTCGGACGATTCGAGGCATCTCGTGGCATTTAAACCGAATTGAGTATCGTTTTGAAAACACAAACGTCGGATTGTAAAGTTTAATTCGAAAAGTTTGATATTCGACATATCGACCTGTCAATCCAATCGATGTAAATGCAAATCGAACGATCGTTTAAATATTTAAAAATTTGTAATTCCGTTACATGCAACATTTTTTTTTTTTTTTATTCGATTAATTTGATTTCATCCCTCGAATGTATACACGATGATTC